TGCAATAAGAAATTACTATTCTCAAACAATAATAAAATCAGTTATTAGTATTATGGCTTTAAAAAGTTACTCTTCAGATTTAATGTATTTCCTGAAACTATTCACAATAAATAAAAAATAATTACAATGTTACAGTATGCATATTGAACATTATTACCTCCTTCTAGACATAATAGGCATATACTTATTCATTCAAGAAATGTGTATTAGTTATTATTTTTTATATATGAGGAGTAAATCTCTTTGTAAATCAAAAGGAGTCTATTAAGTCAGAAATGGATAACTAGTGATTCAGAATTCTAAGGTAGTATCGAAATAAGATTATTATCAGAAGTTATTTTTGGGATTGGTAGTTATTAATTGAGATTTTTCCCCAGTATCTGGTGCTAATTTGTATGCACCTATTTTCAACTAAAATAGGAGTCAGTGGGAAGAAAATATATGTGTAACCATCTAATGCAACAATATGAAAACCCATGAAAGAATAATTCACAAATCTTAGTAGAAAGAGGGAGAAAGAAGGGGAAGAAAATTATTTTTCACTTCCCCTGAGCAAACATGTAATTTCCATGATTTCTTTTTAATGACTGCGGTCTGCGGCCAGTAGGTACTGATTTATGAAAAGCTGTAAAAGATCAGGTGGAACTCCGTAGGACATCGTTTACAGCTGCATGGATTGAAACCTATCTAATTTGTCTAGTAAAAGTGTGAGCTCACAGTGCACATCACCCAGCCTATAAATTTCCCCTTCAGACCCGAGGTCTGGGGCTGGGGCTGAATAAACGCCAATGTGTGCAGCTGCTCAAAGGCCCAGATTCCCTTGGTGCGCATGAAGAGACATCACAGGCTCTTCACAGTGAGAAACAAATTCCTATCCATTGATAAACTCTCCAGATGTCCTCTCTGAGGAGGAAAAGAACCAATTTTTATTTGAAATCCCCAGATAAATCCTGGAAGTGGAAAAATGATACTTTGCAGGGCTGGTTATTCTGAGGTCACTGGCATTAAAATTAGGTCATTTTTTTTTTTTTTTTTTTGGTCTTGGCTGTGCTTTGATCCAAGCCATAAACATACAAACTCAGTTGGGATCACTAATCCCTAATCCACACGTCCTGATCTATTTCAATTTGTTTAGACTAATTTTCTTTAAACTCTTGTTGAGTCTGACTAAAGTGTTGAGTGTAAAAGTACAAACTGTTTTGAACTAAGAAGAAAGAATTCTGCATTTTGCTATTAGGCACACTTCATAAATATTCTGAATAAATGTCCTGGGGTTTGATTCTTCCTACCCACAAACCCATAAATAAAAAAGTATTACTATTCATGGGACTAAAACTTGACATAAGGTTCTGTGCTACAGCTACCGTAGACAGAGAAACTGTGGTGTGTGTGTGTATGTGTGTGCATGCCTGCAGATAGTTTAATATCTTGTCTCGTTTCTAGGTCTCACTTCACTTTTCTTACACAATCTTCTCACACCTGATGTAATGCTATTCTTATCAATTTCTTAGTGGTTCAATGACTTAGCCAATGAGTCTATTGCAATATCTAATGCCTGCTAGTGAAAAAGGCTATTTCATTCATGATAGCCATGCTGAAACAACCCAAGAATATTGTGTACATTTTGACACCTGGATTGTATATCTGTAATTCCTGCTTCTTAAGAAAAGAATAAAAATACAAAATTTTCAATTATAAAAATAAGCTGTTTTTCTTTCTCAGATGAGTAATTTTAAAAAATCATAGAAAATTGTTTGCAAATAGGTTTCAGAAGAAAATAATTTATGAAATGTTTATATTTTAGAGTTTTCTAGATATTGCTAAATGAAAAAATTCATATTTATATAATAATGCATAATCTCTGTTTCTTTTTTAAGATAATCTTTGAGAGTTAGTAAAACTAAACTATATCACAGAAATAGAAATTACAAGCTCCATAATTAAAATTTTCAATTTATAATTTGAATTTGTGAAGCAGAAAGAATTGAAATTGAATTGAGTCTGATGGAGAAAAGGTTGAAGAGCTCTTCACTTTCAACTGCCCTCCACCACACAAATGGCCACCACAGGAGGGAACTATTCATCTGTATTTTCCACAGAGTAGGAAAATAGAGGCAGAACCAATGTTGCAATTTTTTTTTTCTTAAACTCCGGGTTAAAATTGCACTAAAATGTGACTTTTTATAAAATACATTTAATGCATCCCTGTAAAAATCCAGGTAAATATTCAATTTACAGACTTCTCGTATGTTCCAAGCAATAGAGTGTCCGTGTAGGCCATGATCCGGAATTGTCTGGGCTCATGAATCAACTTTACTGTTAAGTAGGTCTTTTGTACATAAGGGTGTAAGTTGAAGACTATCACCAGAAGTAGTAGAAACCCCTCAGTTAAAAGACCTCTTTAAGTGTGGATGGAGTTGGCACAGATTTGCTTCAGAGACTTTTTCATGTAGAACATGAACTTATACCACATATCCTAGATGGTAATCGATGATTGCTACTTACATGTAAAACATTATACAGTTTTATTTCATTTATATTGTTCATTTTGCTATTTTGTGTTATTTCTAAAGATATTGAAATTAGCCCCTTAGAGATGTAAATTTATTTCTAAAATAAGGGGAAATGCATGTTGATATATTAATGTTATTTTTTTGGTATCTTCTCACCATGAGTTCTAAACTTTGAATTTAAGCACTTCAAATGATGGACTTCACTTAGACAAATCTTTCATTTCAAGTGTGTAATAAAAATATGAAGCTCTAGTTTAATACTCCTAATTCTGGAGATTTTTAAATGAAAGATTCTGAATAACTAAAATGGCAAAAACATTAAAATGGACTTTATTAATTATAAAATAAAGATTAAATCATGATATATACAGGTTTAATATTAATACTATATTTTATTGCAATAATGAACAAAATCACAGACAGAAGAATGGCACATCTGTTTGTAAACATCTTCTGTGGAACCATTGTGAACTTGTAAAAGTTACTGACTATTCTAAGGAAGCCCCTAATAATGGCTACATTCCAGGGTTGTTATACTATTATGTACATAATATTAGATATGACTAAATTTCTAGTTACTTAAAATGATGGTTAACAAGATCATTGCATTTCCAGCATTGTATATAAATGGATGTTTACTCTGCTACTTTGTTTTTGAAGTTTTCAAAAGTTTAGCCATTTCACCAAAGGTGTGACCTTATGTAAAGTAATGAACAGCTAACAGATAGTTACAAAGGTGTGACCTTATTAAAGTAATGAACAGCTAACAGATAGTGCTTATTATGTGCTAGCACTGTTCTAAGTGCTTCCTACATATGCTCATCGATTCTTCAGTCCGTATCCTCACCGTTATCCCCCTTCAAAAGAAGAGGCAACAGACAGGAAACTCACCAAGGTAAGGCAAATAGTATGTGGTGTACCCAGGATTCCACCCAGGCCCTATGGTTCCAGTATTTGTGCACCAAACTTCAGGACACAGAAAAATTGAATAGGCCACATGATGAAATTATAAATGGTGTAAGAGAAAATGGGGAAATGTAATATGAACAAAGTTTCACGTAAATAGCACAGTGTAGCAGCCAAGAAATGTGGGCGGTGGCATAGAAAAATGTGGGTCTAAATGCCAGCTCTGCCTCTTTCGCCTGAGGGAACTCAGATTTATAACTTAATGTGATTTAGTTTCAGCTTCTTTATCTATCTTAGGGAATAGCATCAGTGCCTAACAGGTGCTCTAAAGACAGGTCCTTCATGTCTGTGTCGTATTCTTAGCATCATGCCTGTCACATTGAGTGCACATGAATATCCAATGTAACATGTAAACAATATAAACAAAACAAAATAAGAGCCTTCATAACTTATTTCTGTTATTGTTATTATTTACCCAAAACTAAAGACTTTTACATCTCCCTTGTGCCCAAGCTCCCTTCCTTAAGAGAAAAGAAGAGAGAAGTCAATAAATTGTTCATCTAGTGACTGGCTCCAGTCAAAGAACAATTTAACTCAAAGAACAGTCAGAGGTCCCTGAGAGCTGATAAAAACATGCCAAAGACAGTTCACCAACAGGCTGCTGCTTCTGGCTCTTGAGGGATGCAAACACTGTCTCTCATTTCCTCATGCCTCTTCTGTTCCATTGATTGACCAGGTCTTGCAGGTGGTCATAGATAGATGGTTAAACTCGTATTTATATAAAACAATCCTAGAAGAAAGTGTTTTTCTTAATGCCGATTGTATTGTGTAATATAAATCACAATTACAATCCTTCTCTGAGTCTCTGTGTGTCCATGTATATATAAAATATTATATACATATCATGTATATATATCTAACACATTATATGTAATGTATGCATCATGAATGTGTTGCAGATATATATATGTAGTGAACTTCATTTGCTCTCAGGTATGCAAGAATGTTTTTTATCAGTCATCTACTTTTTTCTACTATTTTTATTTTTAATGACATGTACATTATTTAACTATGTGTTGAGTTTATATCCTGCTGTAAGTACAACCTAGACTGTTCAAACCATTCTTTAGAAAGCAACCTGTACAATATCTAACAAACAACCAGTGGGAAATACTTAAAATATTGAAACCAAATCCATCATCAAAGCAGGCAGCAAAGAATTCAGTGTGTCCTGCCTACTATAACTGTATCCTAAAGTACTACCATTTTGGCTAATGATTAAACAAATTAAATGTTAATAAAATATGTATGAATGCATTTATGTATTTCACTGGCAACATTTCAGTGATTTAAAATGCACCTGTGGATGGAGAGGGGAGAACTTAGACAAGATGATTACACAGTGTTCCTCCAAGCTGCCAGCTTGAACAGATGAAGCTTTCATGGCAGATAAATTCCGCAAATGAACAGGAGCACCGTATGAAGTCTGGAAGTTCCTGCTGATATTAGTGTCAAATTTTGACACACAGTAACTCTGTGGACTCCTGATCTGTCTCCCTTTGGTGTTTTCTTTTCTTGCAGGCCATCAAACCTTCTTCTGGACAAAAGCAATGTCGATATCACTACCTTCCGCATGACAGGTGACTGGCTTAATGGTGTCAGGACAGCACGCTGCAAGGAAATCTTCACGGGCGTGGAGTACAGTTCTTGTGACACAATAGCCAAGATTTCCACAGAGTAAGAAAAGAAATCGTTAAGAACATTGAATGATTCTTTTGAACTTTCTGCTCAATATTCATGTCTTGGCTTGACATGTTATAAATATTAGTGGTCGATCTGAGGTACTATTTCCTGGAGCTGCTAATCAGGGCCCTGGGTCTCCTTGTGGCTCACAGCTTCTGGATTGATACATATTGATATGTCTTCCCCTCAAGATAGGGCCTGGGATAGGTGTCTTTACATAGACTAGATGTGACCTTCAGATCAACCAACAGATTCACACCCATACCCACACTGCAAACCCAAGTCCCTAATTTAAAACATAAGCATAAATAGATTGATGATTAGTGTATTTCTTCATTTTGTGAGTTTTCTATTATTTTTACTAAAGCTTAATATCTGTGAATAAGGAAAATTGAGAACCAAGTGGATAATCTGGCATACAAGGAAACATATTAAAGTCTAAAAGTAGCTTTCATAGCTGCTGAATAAACATAACATCATCTGGTCATTATTGTCTACTTGGTGAAGAATATCATGCTAGAAAATGAAGTTATGTTTAGGTTTAAGACAGGACTTTTGGGTTTTCATCAAGGCTTATTGCCAGATAAGAAAGAAAAACATATGCATCATAATATTAATATTAATTGATAGTTTCATGTGTTAAAAGCCAATGACAATCAAGTATAATAGACTATATTTTATGAACAGTGATTTGTTGCAACAGAAATCTTTTGATATGAGAAATACATGGACTCAAGGAAAGGGGGTATGTAAAAAATCAAGTAAATCCAGTGAATGGTCAAAAAAAATTAGCCCTTATTCACAAAGTAGGGTGTTTTGAGAATTGATAAATTAAGAATTAGAAGTCACATTCTTCATCACTCTGTGATTGAGAATCAATTTATGTCACTTCCTAATATGACTACATCATTTTTTTTTCTGCACAGTGACATTTTCTGGATTCCCAGGCACGACACTGGCTTTCTCAAATCTTGGTCATGTAGCCTCATAGTGCCATTCAACTGACCAGGGTCCAACTCTTAATTCTAAGTTCCTGGGACAGAAAGTATGACTGACTCAGTCCCACTTGTACACTGGCACCTCCAAAGTCATATGTTTGCTGGCATCTAGTCATTTATCTTCAAAGGAAGTAGGATGAAGTAGCATGGACTTGGCTCTAGGGGCCCTTTCCTGAAGATAAGATGGAGAATTTTCCCAAGGAAAGAGGTGTATACTGGATAGATACACCAAAAGCTGTCCAGAATGTTGTAGCTTGCATGGTCTATTGGGAAACTGTTCATCTTTGTGTCAGTCTTCCTTTAAGTTTATCACCTCCCACTAATATTTAAATATTTAAATGTTTTTGAATATATAAAGGCTTTCATTGCCACCCAGTCAATCATTCAACATCACTTTGAAAATTACAGATTAATGACAAAAAAGGAATGTGCCATGTAATTAATACAGATACAAGTGTCCAACAATCATATAAATAAGTTTATAATTTATGGTGTAACATTACAATCAGAAAGACATAAAGCCACAGAAGAACTTACAGGAAGAGTTTATTATTACTGAAGAAGACTTGCTCTAAATTTACTCTAGTCAATTTAACGTGCATCGGTGCTCCTGTTGAAAGTGGAATGTGGTGTTTATTGAATAGACTTCCGACCCAATTGACAATACACTTTGGGTTTCTATGGTACTTATTTTCATGAGATACAGTCTCAATATATAGTCATGTATTTACATATTTTGATATATTCTTCTTTTAGTAATATAAAAAGGGTTATGATATACAAAACATCTGCTGGAGAGCACAGAAGCATAGAAAAAAGCAAACACAAAGTTGAACGTTTCCACACCATTGCCAGATTTTCAAAGGCAAAGTTATGCAAATGTTTATTCTCAATAAAATATCAACACTCACAACTTTTAGATATTGAAACAACACTGTATTGAAATATATGAGGGAGAACACTGTTAATAAGATTAACTGCTAGTTTGCAATTTAAATATAGTCAGCCATTAGAAGCTATAAATGTGATAAGAAAGCAATTTGCTTTAAAAAGTGAAATGACAGCATTTGTCATAGTTCCAAGTGAACGACATTACTTGTGTCAACAATACCGTGATGGACATCAAACTCTTTTTGGCAGGTTGGAATATTTTTACTTAATTGTTGTTATTATTTGAATTATCTGTGCATATGCATTCAAGATGAAAGCTGACTTTTCCTGAAAAATATTTTCAGATTGTCCTTCATATTGAGTCAGGTGGTCATGGATATATACGTGTTGCAGTCACCACAATATTCCTTCTTCTGTCCTCTCTCCTCAATTTAGGGATAATATAGGATTAACATCTATTGCCCTAGCACTCTGTGAAAAGAATTCCATTTTTCCTTGAGTCTTCATAGTGTCATGTATCTCATGTTCTTAGTTTATATTACAAAACGAGAATTTATTTAAAATCTTTAATGTACTAATTATGTGGGCAAACATGATAAGGCAGCATTTCCACCATAAATGTTATAAAATATTTAGCTAGATGTTTTATCTTTCTTTTGGGATCTTGGGCTCATTGTTTGAATTTGATTTCTTTCAGTCTCTATTATTTTATGCCATCCAGAGTCAATTCAGAAATAACTCGCTTGACCAAATAACTATAGAGATTCTCCTAGAATAGTTACAGTTACGTAGGATGAATCTCTCTTTTTTTTCCTTCCTATTCAGGCTACCAAAGTACAGGAAAAGAATGATAAAATGTCTCAAATACATATTAATTTATTTTTGTTAGAGGTTTCATTGATATGCAAGCTACTCAAGTTATCTAATTTTCAAATGAAGCCCAGAACATGTGGGGTTCTATTTAATAAATGCGTATTTCAAAATACTACTTCATAGCCTAAGATGCATTTAGCAAGGTTAAAATCAGAAAGGAAGAGAGAAAGAGAAAGGGCGGAGTGACTGCGACCGCGAAACTAGAGACAGAATTAAGTGTGTGGAATGAATATTAAGCAGATTATTTGCTGCATGTCATTATCCTGCACCCTTGGATGCCATTTTCCCACTGTCATCACCTATCCCCCTGCCTTTGAAGTACCAGATAACATATTAACCTCTGGTCTCAGTCTGGAGCTGCTCTTTAGCCTTAAACTTTTCCACTGCTCTTCTGAATAGGACAGTCAAAATGAAATGGGCGCACACAGAGTGTTTGGAGACAGCAGCAACTGGATGTTCTGAATTATTTTGGACATGGCAGGGTAGTGAACAGAAGATATTTTGGCAAGAATAGAGAGACTAGAGTAAGTTTAAAAAGCCTAGCTAACGAATAACCCAAATGGATAGTTAACTTTAATTCTCTTTTCAAAAATCCAATGTAATCCTTTGCATTAAGAAAAAAAAGTTTTGTATGATATATATAAACAAATATATATATTATATATTTAGATATATTTATTTTATTTATATATTTATACATTTTATTATATATTATGTATATAGATATATATAAATAATAAATATATTTGCTTATATTGGGTTCACAGACACAGAATGTAAAACAGCTTTTGCAAAACATTTATTGAGGAATACAGTGAGGAGGTGCATCTATAAAGAAGTGATGAGGAATGTCCCAAATGGGTCTGTGAATTCAGCATCACATTTTTTTTTCCAGGCACTTGGTGATGAGTGCTTCAGTTAAGAAGGAAGATCAGGGCCAAACATCATATCATGTAATACTCAAACTATGCTTAAATTTCTCAAAGAGCTCAGGAATTACTGCATTGGAATATATGTTTTTTTGTCTGGTTTCTTTTTTCACTTTCCATGACTATTATTTTAAGAAGGGGAAAGGGAAGAGACAAAAGACAGACAAAGTCATCTTTTTTTAAAACATATGGTGTTGGAAGAAAGATGAAAGAGGAAATACAAAAAGTGAGAATCTATTTTTTCTGGGTCTAGACTCATAAACTCACTTTGCTATAGTTTGGGGATGAGTGGGGAAATGTTTATTCTTTGTTTTAAAGATAGATTAATTAAAATCCTGTAACACGCATTCTCAAAGGCAGGGATCAACAAAAGCAGCATACATTACTCTACGTGAAGGGTTTCATCATTCACAGTTATGTTAAGCATGGCAAGCCTCGCATTACCAGACATCCATACTAGCCTTCCTGAGGAAAAGTATATTAGATAGAACCTAAGGCAAGACCCAAGCTGTCCCTGGAGGACTTATCAGCCCTTTGACTGTCAGCAGGGAGGGAACCTGCAGATCATCAGGAACTTGCCCAGCAGGTGGTAGGAATTCAGTAAAGTCTTGGTTAATTAAACGCCTGATGCTTAAATAACAAGTGCATTTCTTCTCAAATGGTTGTCTATTGTCTTCTGGAACACCTCTATGGCCTTGGAACCCATTTCTTAAGAAATCGATTAATCCATTTCTATATAGTTGAATCCCTAATTTTTTTTTCTTTGTGCTCAGCATAAAGAAACCCTTAGAGACCCTCTGTGTGTGTGTGTGTGTGTGTGTGTGTGTGTGTGGTGTGTTCACATGTGTTCTTTCTCCTTGCCGTTGTCAATTTTCCTGGCTCTCCTTGCCAAATGGTACTTTACACACTAGTCAACTTTATCCAGAAAAAATATATTTTATACATTTAGTAAATTTGTATTGAGCCCACTACCTGGCAGCCATTGTTTAGGTGTTGCTGATAAACAGAGTACAAAAAAAAATCACTCTTCACATGGAATTTACCTTCTTGTGGGACAAGACAAGGAATAAGAAAAATAAATCAGAAAGAAAGTCAATATGCTAGATGGTAATACATGCTTTGGAAGAAAATGAAACAAAAGAAAATAGAAAGCGCAGATACAAGTACAGAGAGGTTTTAAAATATTAAATAGGAGTGTTGGGGATTCATTCATTCATTCATTGGAGGGGGATGTGTGAGCATCCCTCAATCATAAAAGAGGTGAATCTATGAACTAATTACTTGAAAAAAGAATATATAATTAACCATTTGCACATGTTACCTATATTGTTTCCCTAAATTAAATTCCTTATGTTTTTATAATCTGTATTTTAATACCTACTTTTCGACTTTAAATTATTACATATTTAATAAATTAGAGATATATCTTTGTCATTTTTTCTACTTTAAAAGAACTGCGTACTGTAATGATATTATTCCAGTTATCTACGGCTGCACAGCAGACTCTCCCAGAACTTAAAGGCAAAAACAGCAAGGTGTTTATTACATCTGTGTTGTGGGTTATGAATTAGGCCAGAGCTCAGGTGGGTGATTCTTTGTGCTCCGATGCTGATGTTGACAGAAGCTTTCAGCTGACAAATGAACTGATCTGGTCTGGAGGGCTGGAGATACTTTCATTCCAATGTCTTCCTTGATGCAGTTAGCTACCCAGTTGGTCTCACCTGGGATTGCAGACCAACGTGTTTACATGTGGCCTCTCCTGTGCAATAATATCAGGTAGTCAGACTTTTTATCTGGCAGGTCTAGGGCCCCAGTGAGGATGTCTCAAGCGATAAATAGAAGCTGGTAGTTTCTTAAGACCTGAGTGAAGAAAGTGAAACAATGTCAATTCTGGCATGTTCTGTTAGTCAAAGCAGTCTCTGAGCTGGCCCAGATTCAACGGAAAGAGATAAAGCCCCACAGGGAATATGTAATCATTGCTATTAATTTCCTAAGGCTGCTATAAGGAATTACTACAAATGTATTGGCTTAAACAACAGAAGTTTTTTCTTACAATTCTGGCCATCAGAAGTCTGAAATCAAGATGTTGGCTGTATCACAATTGCTCCAGTCTCTAAGGGTAAATTCTTCCTCATCTATTCCAGCTTCTGGTGGATCCTGGTATTCTCTGGATTATGGCAACATAAATCCAACCTCTGCCTCCTTCTTCTCTGTGCTCTGTATGTCCTATTGTCTTATAAGGAAACTGTCACTGGATTTATGTACCACCCTAATCCAGTAAGATATTTTCCCAATCTGTGCCTTAATTATATCTGCAAAAACCCTCTATCCAAATAAAATCACATTTTGAGGTTTGAGACTGACAGAGATTTTGAGGAAACACTATTCAACCCACTGCGGCATCTATATAGTCTTCTACAAGACCGTGGAATAGTTGGGACATAACACAGATGAGGCAAATATTAGAAAATTAGGTCCACAGTACTAGAATATGTCATTGTGTAATTGCACTAATTGAGAATCTCCTGCCTACATACTCTCCAAGAAACTGATTCTCATATTTTCCTTTTTTCACAGTGACATGAAAAAGGTTGGTGTCACCGTGGTTGGGCCACAGAAGAAGATCATCAGTAGCATTAAAGCTCTAGAAACACAATCAAAGAATGGCCCAGTTCCGGTGTAAAGCACTGCTTCTGGAAGGAAGTGGTGACTGTGGAAGCTGCAGCATCATCCTGCAGACAGACAATAATGCTGGAGATGCTGGTGGAAGTTCCAAGTCCAATAAGACACTCAAATATGAGTACAAATGCCTTAAAATGGAATTTAAAAACTCTTTATTTTCCCCTATCATTTAGTGGATGGGTGGGTGGGGTATTTTTTTGTAACTGCTTTTTTAAGTATTAGTTAATGGATTCAATGAAACTCTTCAGAGGAAAATGGTGAAGAACTAGCATATAGCCATGGATCACAAGCGGACTATCGTGAAAGCAAAGCAAGTGAAATAACAAAACGGACACAGTGGCTGTGTTTAGTTACAGCCACAGAAGAAAAGACTTGTAATATTTTTATATACAGAGGAAGTCTGTAACAGGTATTTTGTTTCTTTTAAAGCAAGCAAAATAGAGGAATTGATACCTCAGACTGTCTGGCCATATTTACTACCTTATCACTGCATTATTCTCTTTTATCTGTTTAAAGCATATAGAGATGACATTTGTAGTTGTTTTAAGTACTACACATTTATAAATTGTTAGCTTCTTTAAGTATATCATGTAAAGAAATGTCTTAATTTTTGAAAAAAGTACATATTTATTTTCTTTTGGATTGTTTTTATTGTTTTCTATTTATGTCTTGATGATTTAATTTGGATTTTTTACAGCCAGGTGCCAAATGCTCTCTCAAATTGTCAGCAGTTTAAATTGACACAGATAATGATAGGTTGCTTTCAGATTTTTTGAACCATCCACTCACATATATTTTTTAAAATGAAACTTTTTTTCCTGTTCATACCCTAACTACATCTCTCCTAGTCTGTTATCCCAGTCATTCTTTTCTCTCCATTTATTATAAACTGTATGCTCAAAATTTAGTGTAATATACTAGCTTGTATGCAATGGATTTTCAACCAGATAGCATACATTTCCTGCTCTGATGCTTAGAGACCATTAACTCCCTCCATTAGTGAAGGAGCCGTGTTAGAGCTTCCGAGAATAGCTACACTGGAAAGAATTGAAATCCTATATAGATTACTATACTAATTGGCAACACAGCCTATAGGTCAATGCATGAGTCAAAAAAAAAAAAATCACTTGCTCACTGGCTTTGAAAAGTCATTTACTATTGTTGCTTAAACTTGCTCAGCTGTTTATAGAGAATGATGATAACAGAATGACTCCTCTGTATCACTGGAGTTTAGGTCAATTAATTAAATATTGTGATCATTAGTACCAGGTATTATTATCTTTAAGAGTCTTCCACTTCAATGCACATGATGCAGTTTTGGTGCATAACTTAGAAGCCTTGAACTTCCTCGAATTTACTGGATGGACAAAACATTTTTAGAATAGCTGGTCATCTAGCAAATGCCTCAAAATGTGTTGGCAGGAGAGAGATTTCTCATCACAGGGATTTAGGCTTACTCTTACATAAAGGCTAACTTTGAGCTTGCTCAGTAATATTTGAAAAGATGTATCTGGTGGGCATCTAGCTACTAATATATTCTGAAGCAACATTTTAGCTGTATTGATACACTTTCTAAAGCTGATATAAACTTGAATATAAGAAATGCGTATATCGCAAGAATAGAATGGATAAAACAATGCTGCAAACTTAATGTTCTTATGCAAAATGGAATGCTAATGAAACACTGCTTACAATCACAAATCAAAATTTACAAGTGCTAATTTGTTGTAGGTTTATTGTAATAAGACTTAGATTGTGCTCCTTCAGATATGAGATTGTTTCTCAAATCTTGGCAACATTCCTTAGTCAAATCGGGCTATTAGAATTCTGCATTGGATATATAAGAGCATGAAATTTTAAAAAATACATGTGTGATTATAAAATTAATCATAAATTTCACTTATACCTGCTTTCAGCAGCTAGAAAACATTTTTTTAATCAAGTATTTTGTGTTTGGAATGTTAGGATGAGATCCAAATATGGTTTCAATCTAATTTTTTCCCAGACTAACATTCACTTTTTTAGGTACTATTCTGAGCATACTCAACAAAACCTGTGCATTTCATAAACTAATAGGTGAGGATTGTTGAATCTATTTCACTTATTTTGGCTGTGGTTTCCATTTAAAAGTAGAGGTTGTATACATCATATACTGTTCTTCATTTTACTAATATTTTTCTACATTACCTCTTATAAATTTATTTTACGCAATTCTTACTCTGTATATATGTAAACATAAGTGTACAATTCTTAACCATCGAGTAGAGGTACTAGAAAGCTTATGGCCATCACTTTGTACAGGAACTGCATTGACTTTCAGTAATCATAAAGCCACAACTCCTTCATGATGTTATGTACCATATGATCTGTTTTGTATCTTAAATATGATTTACATATATTATTTATTTCTGGCAACTCAGTTTATGCTGTGCTAAGTATCAATCAAGCCATGTATAAATGTGATATGATTGACAATATGTGTTTACTTTAAACTTGTCTTTTCAAAATATTACTCAGTTTACATTGTACAATGTAGATGGCCTCTTACTAATGTAAAATGATTTGTAGTGGAAACATTTATATTTTTATAATAAACATAATGAAAATATTTTTTACAGATTGGAATACAGAAGTGGTCTTTGAAGTTTTTTAAAAATATATATATAAATATGTGCTTATTTAAACAGCATAATAATGAAATTTATAAAGTCACAAAAATATGCTTCTGGGTTTTTATTCTCCATTAGTGAAGAGGGATTTACATTGTTTAACCCACATGTTTTTGGTCTAAATCTCATTATGAATAAGCTGGAAAAATAATCAATGAATATTATTTCAAAGTAATAAATGCAATTGTATTAGGCAGTTCCCTTTTGAGTACAAATAACAGGAAACAAATAAATTGAGTTAATGTTTAAAAAGAAAATGTTTAGCAAAAGTGACAGAATTATCCAGGGATAATTTCCCTAGCTAAGAGATCGGACACAGATTGAACCAGGAATTCAAACAATCTCAACAGGGGTAAATCTCTCGTTCTATCTCTTCTTCCCTTGGCCCTATTTTTCTTCCAGCTGGGTTAATTTGCAAGCTATATCTTTCTACAAGGTGAAAAATACTACTATGTTTAATTCTACATTGCAATTTCTATGAAAGAATTACCATGTTTCTAGTTCCAACAGAGATCATGAGGCCTTTCTTGCATCACAAGCCCTATCATTTGGGTTGGAGAATGAGTCTCTTAGATTGGCAAGTACTGACTCCTATTCTTGCCCTTGGAGATAGTGTGTGGGGTTATATGAGAGTGATGCTCTTCAGGTATTAGAGGTGTAAAAGTAGTTTATGTTCAATAGAATGTCAGAATACTGTTTATGACAAACAAAGAAAGGAATTCTGGCCAGGCCAAATAGAGCAAGTAAAAACAGAAAAAAAAAAAAAAGAAAAGAAAAAAAAAAAAAAGTACAACTTCAAACCACATGCTAAAGAACACCTGATACTTTGTATACTATAGATCCCTTGTCATTGCAGTCCACTTAAAGAAAATGATTATATAAGAAAATTGAAAAAAGCTAACTTAAAAATGTGCAAAATAAAGTAAGTGATCAATATTCCCATAGGGAAGGAAGTGGTTAGGAAGAGATTAAAATAACAGGTCTGATTTGTGCTTGCCTTGAAGGAGAAATAGTATTTGGTCAAGTTGAGTGGAGTAGAGAATACTTTGTAAGCAGGAGATTAGTTAAGGGGAAGAGAAGAGGTAAAGAATATATTTGTTCAGTCAATAAATACATAGTAGGCATTATCAGGAGCCAGCTGTTTGGCTATCATCATGTACAACTTACATAATTAAATCTTTTGCAACATTTCTGTGAATAGAGATTAGCTACTTTTATGTGAGAAGGAAATCTGTGCTCAGAATGTCCAAGTCACCCTCCCGAGGTTATCCTTGTATATAGATAAATATTTCAAACTGGAATCTTCCTGTTCTGTGCTCTTGCTATCATGGGTTAATTACTACAATCTCCACGACACTCTGGGGACAGTGACAATGACAATTTGCACAAGTGGCTTGGGGAGACTAGGTCAGGTAGACTATGTGATGTTAGAAATCTATTTTGGTATTCTATGCATGAAGCTATACATCTACCCCAGATGGTGGTAATGTGCAGAATGACAAGCATACAAAAATATATAAAAGAAAGAGGATTAACAGAATTTACCAATTTGTTCTGAGAATTCTTCGAAAGATAGAAATCAAGTAAACAAAAAATTGGGGTCCTGAGTGTCTGTGTAAATGATGGCACCGTTTGTCAAACTAGAGAATGAGGAAGGGGTCAGCGTGCCATCATGGGTTTCTCAAATATATGTTGTAAGTCAAACTTTACTAAGTAAGTATTGGGGCTGAGAATCTGAAGCTTTAGGAAAAAGAATTCAAGGGTAAAAATGTATATGGAAAGATGTCTCTGGAAGTATGTAAAGATCTACCTTACAAATATTTATTTGTTTCCTATATAGACATGTATTTTTCTTAGAACACCTCTTAGGTTAATGCTAGCTACGTAATTAAGTCCCCAAATATTATCAACTTCAAATAATGAAAATATGTTTTTTAACACAGAATAACCCAAAGTAGGTGTTTGCCAGGTGCCCTTCTTTGCAATAATCAGGAGCCTATACTTTCTCTATCTTGAAGCCTAAGGCCTTGAAATCCTCTACTTCCAGCCAGGAAAATGAAGGAGAGGATCATATGGGGGGATTCTATGAGCTCTGTTTCTAAGTGGTACATACCACTTCTTCTCTGGTTCCATTGGCTAGAACTCAACCACATGGCTGTACTTAACTTCAAGAGAATGTAAAGTAGTCTGACAATGCTCCTAAATAAAAATGGAAATTTCTGGAATTCATATCACTATCTCCACCACAACCTCTTTTAATGTAAATAATATGTCAAAGGCAGATTGTTCTAAAAAACTTATTAGAGAAACATCAGTTTCTTTCTAACTGTACCAATTTCTTTTTCTCTATAGGCAATCATTTTTAATTCTTTTCTCTTATTACATAAATCTAATACTTCTACTAATGACACCTGTCAGCTATATGAGTACCCTGCTCAGATCTCCTTCCAAGAGAGCTTATTGCAAGAAAGCAGTTAGCTGA